TTCATGTTTTAATATTGACATTAACCTGTGGCAGTTTCATCTTAGAAACTGGAAAAAAAATAGCAATTTTAATTTTTCCGGCGAAACAATATCACATGAGGTGGCTGCGTCACTTGCGGCCTTCTGTTTCCTCCTCAGGAATTGTTTCGTTTTGCAATATTGTGCTAGGAGGATACAGTATTTAGAAGCTCCTGCTTTAAAAAGTAAATATTTTTTTTTTATGAATGCCTTTAGAGAAAATAAATAAACACGAAAGGCACGAGAGAAGGAAATAAAAGGAGATGCAGATACAACTGCTCATTTAGTAGCTGCTCGACGTCCATTTTTCTTTCTTTTCTTTTTTAAAAAAAATACGTTTTATTGATTTTTAACCTAATCACCTTAACATTTGCTAAACGGCGTGTTGTCTGGGTTAGTATTTGCAAAACAATCGATAACCATTAATTTCTATAATTCTAAGGTCCATCTAATGGCTCGGCTTGATTTTCTCTCCTTCCAATAATCTTCTCTTTTGCCAACTTTAAATTAATACGTCTCTTATTGTTTGAATAAGTGACAGTTAAATATAGACATTTTCCTCACGTTTCTGCAAATAATAACCACATCGATAGAAAGCTTCTTTTCCAATTGATCATCTCAATCGCCTCGTCGTAGATCCCGTTTACCAAATTCTTATTTAAATTTGTTTTCCCCACAATGCTCAAAGCGTTCTTACTGGTTTAAGATTTTCTCAAAATTAGTTACGTTTAAGTATTTAAGTCTTTTTTTCTCATACAACCCGTTTTTCATACTCAACAACCGTCGGACCCTCGGCAGCTGACTCACACTTACGACGGCTGCAGGGTCTCCCGGGGTCACGTGATCCCCTTTTTGCAACCTCCTGACCTGCAAAGTCAAAGGGAGAGATGGATTCACTTCACAGCTGTGTTACTACTGTGTTTCCCCGAAAATAAGACCGGGTCTCTTTTTTTTTTTTTTTTGGTCTCCAAAAGAGGCACCAGGTCTTATTTTCGGGGTAGGCCTCACCTCACCTCCGGCACCGATAGCCCCACCCAGCCGGTCCACTTCTTCTGGAGCTGAAGTTCTGCAGCTGTATTCGGGCCTGCGTTTTATAGTCAGGCCTTTCCAGAAGGCCCAACCAGCCGAGTACCGAACTATGGATTTAATCCATGGCTTGGTGCTCGGCTGCAGATCTCTTGCAGAACCGAGGCATGGATTGAACCCATAGCTCGGTTCTTGGCTGCACAGGCCTTCCAGAAAGGCCCGTGACTGAGAATTGCAGGCCTGGCTACAGAAGAGGCCTCAGAAGAAGAAGTGGGCCGGTGAGGGGAGGCCTGGCTGCGAGGGGCACATAGGGCAGATCCACCGCCCACCCCCACCCTAACTTGATTTTTAAGTGTGCGCCTTGCCCCAAAACTAGAGCTTATTTTCGGGATAGGGCTTGTATTAGGCCCACCCCACCCCCAAAAATCAAGCTAGGGCTTATTTTCGGGGTAGGCTTTACTGTTGCGGAAACAGGGTAACTTAATGACTGCAGTGATTCACTTAACAACTGTGGCAGGTGAGGTTGTAAAAGGGGGCAAAGCTCATTTAACAACTGTCTTGCTAAGCAATGGAGACTACGGCCTCAGCCGTGGCCGTAAACCGAGGACTACTTATATTCAGGCATAAACAAGTGTCTCCGAGGCTTTCCAGTATATCAGAATATCATTGATTGCAAAGATACCACCACAACGGAGTCCAACATTTCTGTTGCTAAGCGAGACGCTTGTTTAGTGAGTTTCACCCCAATTTTACAACCTCCCTCGCCGCCGCCGTTAAGCAAATCGTTGCCGCTGTTAATTGAGTGACAGGGTTCTTAAGTGAACCTGATTTTGCTTGTCCGAAGGTTGCAAAAGCGGATCCTGTGATGCTGCAAGCATCATAAATATGAATCAGTTTCCAAGCGTTGGAATTTCGATCACGTGGCTGAGGGGGATGCTGAGACGGTCATAAGTGTGAAAAATGGTCATAAGTCACTTTTCTCAGTGCCGTTGCAACGTCAAGCGGTCACGAATAGAATAGAATAGAATAGAATAGAATAGAATAGAATAGAATAGAATAGAATAGAATAGAAAGGAAAATCTGGAATGGAATGGAATAGAATAGAATAGGACAGAACAGAATAGGGAATAGAATAGAATAGAATAGAATAGAATAGAATAGAATAGAATAGAATAATAAAGAATAGAATAGAATAGAATAATAGAATAGAATAGAACAGAATAGAATAGAATAATAAAGAATAGAATAGCATAGAATAGAATAGAATAGAAAATAGCAGAATAGAATAACAGATAGAATAAAATAAAATAATTAGAATAGAATAGAAAATAGCAGAATAGAATAGAATAGAATAGAATAGAATAGAATAGAACAGAATAGAATAGAATAGAATAGAATAGAATAGAATAGAATAGAATGGATCTTGGAGGTCCTCTAATCCAGCCCCCTGCTGACTAGCTGCTTCACATTGATTTAAAAGCCTGAAGATTGCTCCTATGAAAAATCGCAAAGGTTCTACTGCTTAGGGAGGGACAGGAAGTGATGTCACCACCTGATGACATCATCCCCTTGATGACATCATGGCATCGCCTAACGCTAAGGCGGTCCAAAGGTGGTGGATCACAGTTTCTATTTTTCTTTAGCCTATAGTGACCTGGGACAGTTGCAAAATCAAGGAACCGAGAAGCTTATTGATTTATTAGACTTGGATAACCGCCCATCGTATAAACACAATTCTGGGCGGCTTGTTATAAGTCTTTTTTTTTTTAATAAAGCCCAACAAGTCGCAAAACAAGAGAGGCGGAAACAAAAACTTGGCACCACAACTTGATCTTCATTGCTTTCTGTCTCCGCCTTCGTCCTATCCCAGCACTTGGAAGAAGTCCAGAATATCTCCACGTTTCTTGAATCTTAATCGCTTGAAGAGGGTGGACTTCAACTCCCAGAATCCCCCAGCCAGCTAGGCTGGCTGGGGGATTCTGGGAGTTGAAGTCCACCCTTCTTCAAGCGATTAAGATTCGAGAAACACTGACCTGTCTGAAAGAAAGATTGTCATATTGTGGGAGCCCCCAGGCAATCCTCAGCTTACGACCATGGATGAGCCTGAAATTTTATGTCGCTAAGTTTTTAAGCGAGTTTTGCCCCATGGTACGACCTTTTTTTGCCAAGGTTGTTCAGCGAAACACTGCATGGTTACGTTAGCAACCCGCTTGTTCAGCGAATCCGGCTTCTCCCTTTGACATTGCTTATTGGAAGATCGGGGACTGCGTAACCCCAGGGGACACTGCAACCGTTGTAAATACGAGTCAGCGTCTGGGACGCCATTTTTCCCCAGTGCTTGTTGCAACTTCAAATGGTCCCTAAACAAAGTGAAAGTCAGATTGCCAGGTTGTGTTTGGGAGCCTAAAATTGTGCGGAGCTTCACACTGCCAAACAACGACGGTGCGTCGCCCACCCAACGTGTCGGCACAGCGCTCAGCTATGCGGAAGCTGATTCTGCATTTCGCCTCAGGGTAATCTTTCCGTTGCCCTGTGTGGGGTGGGAAGGTGAGAAGAAGGAACAAGCCATGGTTTGTTGCTTTCTGTTCCTCGTTCCCTGGCGCAAGAGGTTTGAGTTTCTGTTGATCTATGGACTCTGTTTACGCACAAGCAACCCAGAGGTCAGCCTGTCTGCAGACGGGATGTTTTCCATGCTGGTGGCCTTGGGCCAAATAGGTCATTTCTTCCTTGCTCCTGTTTTGGTTCCCTCAGATGATGGGAACATCCAGCCACCTTTGAAAGGCCTTGTTTCTTTCCATTTCATGTCCCCGGATGATGAGATTTAACCTGGGGTTACAGCCTTAACGGAAGGTCACTGAACTCAAGGAGAGAAACAACCTAGAACTGAGGAGAAATTTCCTAACAGTGAGAATGATTAACCCATGGAACTGCTCGCCACCAGAAGTTGTGGCTGCTCCATCACTGGAGATTTTCAAGAAGAGACTGGGCAGCTGTTTGTTTGAAATGGTACTATAGGGCTTCCTGCTTGAGCGGGAGGGCTGGACTAGAAGACCTTCAAGGTCCCTTCCACCTCCGTTATTCTGGATTCTGTATCAATCAATCAGTGGAACCACCTGCCTCCAGAAGTTGTGGGTGCTCCAACACTGGAGGCTTTTAAGAAGAGACTGGACAGCCATTTGTCTGAAATGGTCTAGGGCAGGGGTAGGCAACCTCGGCTCTTTTATGAGTCGTGGACTTCAACTCCCAGAATTCCTGAGGGGAAAGGGAGAGGTTTCCAAGCTGAGCCATGCTGGCTCAGGAATTCTGGGAGTTGAAGTCCACGAGTCATGAAGGGGCCAAAGTTTCCCTCATGCTGGCTCAGGAATTCTGGGAGTTGAAGTCCACGAGTCATAAAAGAGCCAAGGTTGCCTACCCCTGGTATAGGGTGTTCTGCTTGAGCAGGGGACTTGTCTAGAAGACCTCCAAGGCCCCTTCCAACTCTGTTATTCTGTATCAATTAATCAGGGGAACAACCTGCCTCTAGAATTTGTGGGTGCTCCAACACTGGAGGCTTTTAAGAAGAGATTGGACAGACATGTTTCTGAAATGGCCTAGAGCAGGGGTATCAAACTCATCATGTCACGTGACGTGTCGTGACGTTCGCTACTTTTTTACCCCTGGCCTAGAGTCTCCTGCTTGAGCAGGGGGTTGGACTAGAAGACCTCCAAGGCCCCTTCCAACTCATTTATTCTGGATTGTAAAATCGGCACGAAACTTGGCACCGAGTGTCCTCCAACAGAGAGGCGTCCTTTGGGGGGTATGCAAGAGCTGGCATCTCCATTTTCACCCAGGCCCAATGTTCCTGACCTGGTTTTACTCACGAGTAGGAAACCGTTTGGATGAAAACCATTGAGTTGGGTTGGGAGAAGGCGAGGTTGGTGGTGCCTACTTCTACGGTCTTGCTTGCTTCTCCGCAGTGCTGCTGACGTGGGTGAATTGCGCCAGCGTGCGCTGGGCCACGCGTGTCCAGGACATCTTCACCGCTGGGAAGCTGCTGGCTCTGGGCTTGATCATTATCATGGGAATCGTGCAAATTTGCAAAGGTGAGGCCCCTTCGGATCCAACCGAGCGCATTATTGTTTCAGACGTTGTGGATGCTCCGTCGACGGAGGTTTTTAAGAAGAGATCGGACGGCCGTTTCTCTTGTAATGGTGTAGGACAGAGATCTCCAACCTTGGCGACTTTAGGACTTGTGCACTTCAACTCCCAGAATTCCTCAGCAGGCATGTCGGGCTGAGGAATTCTGGGAGTTGAAGTCCGCAAGTCATGAAGTGGGGGATGGGTCCTCCACCCTTGGCCATTTTAGGATTTGTGGACTTCAACTCCCAGAATTCCTCAGCAGGCATGTCTGGCTGAGGAATTCTGGGAGTTGAAGTCCACAAGTCATGAAGTGGGGGGAGTCCTCCACCCTTGGCCACTTTAGGATTTGTGGACATCAACTCCCAGAATTCCTCAGCTGGCATGGCTGGCTGAGGAATTCTGGGAGTTGAAGTCCAGAAGTCATAAAGTGGGGGGGGTGTCCTCCACCCTTGGCCACTTTAGGACTTGTGGACTTCAGTTCCCAGAATTCCTCAGCTGGCATGTCTGGCTGAGGAATCCTGGGAGTTGAAGTCCGCAAGTCATGAAGTGGGGGGGTCCTCCAACTTTGGCCACTTTAGGACTTGTGGACTTCAATTCCCAGAATTCCTCAGCTGGCATGTCTGGCTGAGGAATTCTGGGAGTTGAAGTCCACAAGTCGTAAAGTGGCCGAGGTTGGAGATCCCTGATAGAGGGTCTCCTGCTTGAGCGGGGGGGTTGGACTACTAGAAGGCCTCCAAGATCCCTTCCAGCTCTGTTATTTTTTATTTCTCCTGCTGCATTGGTAAGGGAGAGGTTGCCAAGGGGTAAGTAGAGGACCATGGACACCATTTTGAGATTGTTTGATTTACAAGGTGGTTTCCTGCCCACAGGGAAGGAGGAGAGTGGGAGACTGGTTGGGGATAAAGAGAAGAGACCCCCCTCCCAGGATGGCAGTGGATTACTTCTGTCGTGTGTCCTTTAATGTAGGTGAATACTTTTGGCTGGAACCCAAAAACGCCTTCGAGTTCTTTCAGACGCCAAATGTGGGGCTGGTCGCTCTGGCCTTCCTACAAGGCTCGTTTGCCTACGGGGGCTGGAACTTCCTCAACTACGTCACCGAAGAGTTGGTGGACCCTTACAAGTGAGTGAGGGCCTCTCCTGGTGGCGCGGGAGGTGGAGAAGGCCCATCTTGGTCTTCACTTTACCTTCTACCCATCTCAATTCTTTCCGTTTTCCGCAGGAACCTGCCTCGAGCTATTTTTATCTCCATCCCCCTGGTTACCTTTGTCTACGTCTTCGCCAACGTGGCCTACGTCACTGCCATGTCTCCGCAGGAGCTCCTGGCTTCCAACGCCGTTGCGGTGGTGAGTCTCCATCAATGACGTTCAGATTCCTCTTTGGTTCCCGGCAAATTGACCCCTAACGTCTTCTCGTTCCTTTCTCCAAAGACATTCGGGGAGAAACTCTTAGGAGTGATGGCGTGGATCATGCCCATCTCCGTTGCCCTCTCCACCTTCGGAGGCGTCAACGGCTCTCTCTTTACTTCCTCCAGGTGAGTAGACCTGACTTCCAACCAACAGGGTAGACTTATCAACCTTGGTCACGGTTCCATCTTTGGAGATCCCCCCAAGGGTCAAACGATAACGCCCTACAAACCAGCGCGAGTGTCCCTCGTTTACACGTTTGCTTAACAGCCACAATAAAAAGGATCGTAAAATTGGATCTGGTCGCCGGCTGATCTGCTTAATGACGGCACTGCTTTTCGACCAAAATTTCAGTCCCAATTGTGGCCATAGATTGGGTGTAACCAGGTTTAATAGCAGCAACTGTGAGAGGGATCTTGGAGTCTTAGTGGACAATCAATGAAATAGGAGCCAGCAGTGTACGGCAGCAGCCAAAAAAGCCAATGCAATCCTAAGTTGCATTAACAGAGGGATTCAATCACGATCACATGAGGTACTAATACCACTCTATAAAGCCTTAGTAAAACCACACCTAGAATACTGCAACCACATTTGGTCTCCATACTATAAAAAAAGTGTTGAGACTCTAGAACAGGGGTGTCAAACTCAATTTCATTGAGGACCGCATCAGCATTGCGGTTGCCCTTGGGGGGCCGGGTGGGTGTGGCCAGGGTGGGTGTGGCCTACTGGGTGGATGTGGATGGAGTGGGTGTGGTCTACTGGGTGGGCATGGCCAGCTCTGCATCGTTCGCGTCAAGGGGGCCTGTGGGGGCCTGGGCAGGAGTGGGACAGATCTGAGGGTCTCTGGCAGAAGGGGGGGGACCGGGGCAAGCACCAAGGCCTGGTCCATTTCTTCATTCCTCACAAAGGGTGACCCCTCCCCAGCATGCACCCAGGGGACAGGGCCGACACTGCAGGGGCTGGTTCCTCGCTGTTTCCAGATGGCCTTGTGTTGCTAAGACTGAATGCGTTTCAGCATAGATGGCCACCACAAAATTGTACATTGGCTCCCGGCCGGCCTGGACCAGGGCCAAGGCAGTGGGGGCCGTTCCCTCACTGTTTCCAGGATGGCTTCGCGGGCCACATGAAACCACTTCGCGGGCCGCATCCGGCCCCCGGCCCTTGTGTTTGACATGTCTGCTCTAGAAAGACTGCAGAGAAGAGCAACAAAGACGATCAGGGGACTGGAGGCTAAAACATACAAGGAACGGTTGCAGGAAATGGGGATGTCTAGTTTAATGAAGAGAAGGACGAGGGGGGACATGATAGCAGTCTTCCAATATCTGATGGGGACTGCAGCCAAGAAATTAAAAGACGCTTGCTCCTGGGGAGGAAAGCTATGACAAATCTAGACAGCGCACTAAAAAGCAGAGACATCACCCTGCCAACAAAAGTACGTATAGTCAAGGCCATGGTTTTCCCAGTTGCAATGTATGGCTGTGAAAGCTGGACCATAAGAAAGGCTGAGCGCCAAAGAACGGAGGCCTTTGAACTCTGGTGCTGGAGAAGACTCCTGCGAGTCCTTTGGACTGCAAGGCGATCCAACCGGTCAGTCCTAGAGGAGGTCAACCCCGACTGCTCTTTAGAAGGCCAGATCCTGAAGTTGAAACTCAAGTACTTTGGCCACCTAATGAGAAGGAAGGACTCCCTGGAGAAGAGCCTGAGGCTGGGAAAGATGGAGGGCAAGAGAAGAAGGGGACGACAGAGAACGAGGTGGCTGGATGGAGTCCCTGAAGCAGCAGGCGTGAACTTCAATGGACTCCAGAAAATGGTAGAGGACAGGAAGGCCTGAAGGAATGTTGTCCATGGGGTCGCGATGGGTCGGACACGACTTCGCAACTAACAACAACACAGACAGGAGCGGGACATCCTGTTTTCCAAAGCACCCGAAGGCCGGACAAGGAATAACGGATGGAAACTGATCAAGGAGAGATTCAACCTAGAAATAAGGAGAAATTTCCTGACCGTGAGAACAATCAACCAGAGGAACAGAAGTTGCCTACAGAAGTTGTGGGACCTTCATTACTGGAAGAGACTGGACTGTCATCTGTCAGCAGTGGTGTAGGGTCTCCTGCTTGGGCAGGGGGGTTGGACTAGATGACCTACAAGGTCCCTTCCAACTCTGTTATTCTATTCTATTCTTTCCCCGAGTGAGATTGATTGATTGCTCTGAGCTGTGTTACGAAAGGGAACCAGATCTTTGATTTTAGTACCCCGAGGCTATGCTTTAATTTGTTGATGCTGAAAGCTTGGGTGATTTTTATCTTTGCAAGCTGCCAAGGAAAGGCAGTTGTCTTTCAATTATGTCAGCCAAAGAAGGGCATGAATAAGCTGTGTTCAAAACACAGAGCTTCCCTTGTGCCGATTAAAACATGCCAACGATCTGTCTCCACCTGCTATCATTTCCTCGTGCGATATTATTTTTGCCTTCTTCCCTAGGCTGTTTTTCGCCGGTGCCCGTGAAGGGCATCTCCCCAGCGTCTTGGCGATGATCCATGTCCGAAGGTGCACTCCGATACCTGCTCTAGTTTTCACTGTGAGTCATCAGGAGAGAAATAAGGGCGGGGAGATCTGGGGAGATCCCACACGGCTGGGATCCGATGAGACCATGCAGCGTTGGTCTATCTCGGCAGCTTGAAGGTGGGTGGACTTTCAACTCCCAGAATTCGCCAGTCGGCAAAGCTCCTAAGTTTTTGATAAGATGGCAGCAATTCGGCACTCCTGTTTCCTAAGCTTCAATATTTCCCTGGCTGTTTTTGTCCTTGCTCGGCCAACAATCTTAGTAGCTCGTGAAATTGAATGTATGTCCTTGTTCATTGCAGTGAACAAGGACATACATTCAATTTCACGAGCTATTAAGATTGTTGGCGGAGCAGGTACAAAAACAGCCAGGTTACCAATGAGTTTTGATTTCCTCCTCTGGCTGCTCTCCTGTGTTCTTGCAATTTGGTGGCCAGCTTCCTCCCTTCTGTCCTACATCATCACAGGGGCAATCCCGTGCAACTTACCAAGCTGGCTAGGGAATTCTGGGAGTTGAAGTCTTACCCATCATCAAGCTGCCAAGGTTGACAAACACCGATGTGGTTGGCTGTTGTACGTAGAATTGTCCAATTTTGTCAATAGCTTAAACCCGTCGGCTCATTCTTCTTATTTTTCTCTCTGGCAGTGTCTGTCCACTTTGCTTATGCTGGTCACAAGTGACATATATACGCTGATCAATTATGTCGGTTTCATCAACTACCTCTTCTACGGCGTGACAGTGGCTGGGCAAATTGTACTTCGTTGGCGTGAACCCCATCGGTCTTATCCGATCAAGGTAAGGACTCTCCCGAGACAGGACTCTGTTTTTGATCTCTCGACCGTTCTTCATTTTTGCACTTAATAATAATAATGATAAAGTTGGAAGGGACCTTGGAGGTCATCTAGTCCAACCTCCTGCTCAGGCAGGAAACCCTATGCCATTTCGGACAAAAGACTGTCCAGTCTCTTCTTAAAAACTTCCAGTGTTGGTGCATTCACCGCTTCTGGAGGCAGGTTGTTCCACTGGTTAATTGTTCTAACTGTCAGAAAGTTTCTCCTTAGTTCTAGGTTGCTTCTCTCTTTGGTTAGTTTCCACCCATTGCTTCTTGTCCTGCCTTCAGGCGCTTTGGAGAATAGCTTGACTCCATCATCTTTATGGCAGCCCCTGAGATATTGGAAGGCTGCTATCATGTCCTCCCTCGTCCATCTCTTCGTTAAACTAGACATACCCAATTCCAGCAACCGTTCCTTATATGTTTTAGCCTCCAGTCCCCTAATCATCTTTGTTGCTCTTCTCTGTACTCTTTCTAGAGTCTCTGCATCTTTTTTACATCCTGGTGACCAAAACTGGATGCAGTATTCCAAGTGTGGCCTTACCAAGGCCTTGTAAAGTGGTATTAATACTTCACGTGATCTTGATTCTATCCCTCTGTTGATTCAGCCCAGCATTGTGTTGGCCTTTTTGGCAGCTGCAGCACACGGCTGGCTCCTATTTAAATGATTGTCCACTAGGACTCCGAGATCCCTCTCACAGTTACTACTATTGAGCAAGGCACCCCCTATACTATACCTGTACATTTGGTTTTTCTTGCCTAAATGTAGAACCTTACTTTTTTCCACCCTTGAATTTCATTTTGTTAGATAGCGCCCAGTGTTCGCTGAGTACGGTCAATTTCAGTGCTTCTGGTGGTGTCAATTTCTCCATTTCAAATGTGATCGGTGTCACTGCTTCGAGTGTGGATTAATTTCTCTGCTTCCAGGGCGGTCAAGTTCTCTGCTTCGAATGTGGTCATTTCTCCACATAGTCAATTCCTTCACTTTGAGTAGAGTCAATTTCCCCATCTCAATTGTTTCTATTTTAGTGACCGTTTGAACTGACGACGGCGCTGAAAAAAGTAACTTAGGACTGTTTTTCTTTTTTTAAAAAAATGTTTTATTGATTTTCTAATTTTACATTTAAGTATTTGAAAAGCCGCGTGGCGGCTGGCTTAATCGATAATACAATGACATACAAGAATCTTTAGTACCAATCTCAAGCTGCTACATTAAATTTTCCTCTCTTTTCCCTTTAGTATTTACTGTCTCCTGTTTAAACTAATACAATTCTTATTAAATCAACTAAATAAAAATGGCATTCTTAGATTTGTCAATCATTTTTGGCTGATACATATCCTGGTTGTTTTAACATTCAGTCTTTATAGATAATCAATGTCCTAATTAGTTTCCCCCAATTTTTAATTTCCCGTTAACATTTAACTTAACATTTAATATTTATCGTTTCCAAGTTTTAAGCGACCAAAGTTCCCATTATCACAATACATCACAAAGTCTAATATTCAGAATACACATCTTATCTATTTGAATATATTCTATTTTTCACCATCTTACATCAACTCATTAATAATCCGATATAACATTCTTATTTTCTTTTAATTTCCAAACGTCTTAAACTTAGTAACCGAATTTTCTCTTGTTTCAACGTCAAATGCTTCCTCTCTTTGTCTATGAATGTCTATTATCTCACATTTAAGCTAATGCAGTTTTTATTATATCAGCTAAGTAAAAACATGCTTAGGACTGTTTTTCACATAGCTGTTGCAGCATCCCCACGGTCACGTGATCCAAATTCAGATGCTTGGAAACTGGCATGTACTTATCAGTTGCAGCATCCCGGGGTGTGTTTTGCGAACTTCTGACAAGCAAAGTCAATGGGGGAAAGCCGGATTCACTAACAACCTAACTGCATTAACAGAGAGATAGAATCAGGATCATGTGAAGTATTAATACCACTTTACAAGGCCTTGGTAAGGCCACACTTGGAATACTGCATCCAGTTTTGGTCACCACGATGTAAAAAAGATGTTGAGACTCTAGAAAGAGTACAGAGAAGAGCAACAAAGATGATTAGGGGACTGGAGGCTAAAGCATACAGTATAAGGAACGGCTGCTGGAATTGGGAATATCTAGTTTAATGAAGAGAAGGACGAGGGGGGACATGATAGCAGTCTTCCAATATCTCAGGGGCTGCCCCAAAGAAGAGGCAGTCAAGCTATTCTCCAAAGTGCCTGAAGGCAGGACAAGAAGCAACAGGTGGAGACTCATCAAGGAGAGAAGCAACCTAGAACTAAGGAGAAACTTCCTGACAGTGAGAACAATTAACCAGTGGAACAACCTGCCTCCAGAAGCGGTGAATGCTCCAACACTGGAAGTTTTTAAGAAGAGACTGGACAGCCACTTGTCTGAAATGGTCTAGATTCTAGGGTTTCCTGGCTGAGCAGCGGGTTGGACTAGATGACCTCCAAGGTCCCTTCCATCTTTATTATTATTGTTATTATTAACTGTCTTGCTTAGCAACGGGTTTGTACAGAGAAAGGGAGAGTTGGGATGCAGATCTGTCCTTCCCAGCAATCCTGGTCTGGAAGTAGGAGATTTTTTTTTCTCCTGGCATTTCGGTCTGAGTTCATCCCACTTCTCTTCCGCACAGGTGAGCCTGTTCTTCCCCATCATCTACCTGCTTTTCTGGGCGTTCCTGTTGGTCTTCAGCCTGTGGTCGGAACCGCTGGTGTGTGGCATCGGGCTGGCCATCATGTTGACAGGGGTTCCTGTCTACTTCCTGGGCGTCCATTGGGAGAACAAGCCCCCGGCCTTCCACACCTTGATCAGTGAGTGTTGGACCCTCCCCCCACCCCCAGGCAAGGAGGGGTGGGATAGGTTGAAGAGGGGGGGCTTTCCCCTTTAGAAGGGAATCTTTGTAGCTCAGGGCTGAATTGGGGGGGTTCTTGGTGCTCTCTGAGCTGGGTGGTTTTCTTGCAGACGTTTCATGACCCAACTAGGGAACATCATCAGTGCTAGAAGGGAGTGTGGGAGGAGGAGGAAGAGGAGGAGGAGGAGGAGGACTGTGGGGTCCTTGGTGTTCTCTGAGCTGGGTGGTTTTCTTGCAGACGTTTCATGGCCCAACTAGGTAACATCATCCGTGCTAGAAGGGAGGAGGGGGTTTGCTCTGTTTATATACTAGTGGCTTGACCACCAACACTGGCAGGACAGGCCACTAGTATATAAATGAAGAGCAGTCCCCGCTCCCCTCTATCACTGATGAGGTCATCTATCTGTGTCATGAAATGTCTGCAAGAAAACCACCAAGTTCAGAGAGGACCGAGGACTCTACGGACCTCCTCCCCCCCGTCCACTCCACATACCTCCCTCCCTTCTAGCACTGATGATGTTACTGAGTTTGGTAATGAAAGGTCTGCAAGAAAGCAGCCAAGCTCAGAGAGCACCAAGGACCCCATACTCTTCTTCCATCTCCTCCTC